GACTGTGTATGACGAGCTGAAGCCACAACGAGAGACCTGAGATCCAGTCCTCAGGAGACCCTCTAGGAAGAAGCTCTAGCCCAGAATTCCGCTTCGCAGAACCCACTGAGCGTTTGCATTAGTACACCACGGAGAGTGACCCCCGGGTATTTGCCTGTTCTGAATCTCTGTTCCCACTCACTGGGGCACAGCAGGAGCTTGCTAACTGGTCTTCCCACATTTGCTCTCTAGCCTGACAGTTGGTGTTCATCACAGCAAAGCCAAGAACTCTCTCCCCTGCTCAAGCGCCTCCAGTGTGCCCTGGAGCAGGCTCACAAGTCTCTTCTTTAGTTCGGCCCTTCCACCTCCCCTCTGACCTCTCTCCAGCCTTAGCCGGATGGAACTGTCACAGTTTTACTTCATCTCTTTTCAATTCACCTAGAACTCCAGAAATAATGGTACTCCAGAAATAATCTTAGATGTACAAACTAAACTTATATCAGACCTCCAAACAAGACTGAGAAATCCAAACAGTGAATAAGGCCGCTGGGGTAGCCTCCCAGAGAGACCCCAGGCTTCACAGGCCTCCTTCTCTTTCTAGTCTTTCAAATGCTCTTCACAGATGCTAAAAATTGGTTAAGCAGTAGTGCAAATATGCAAACCACCCCAAGTGGCTTTGCATTCTTTATACACAGGGACACACCCATCACCAAAAGAAAAGGTAAATCTGTTTCCCGTTTAGGGTTTTGGATGAATCAATCACTTTTGTCCTCAACAGGTGTATTTGTTGAGCAATTTTGGCACTGTAAGGATAAGACAGGTGGGAAAGATGGCTCCTGCCCCAGAGAAATACTTGTTTATTCTCCTCCTAAAGCAGCACCCAGGGGCACTGAGTTAATGAAAAAGGCCCATTGCTTGTCCGCCATTCGGGATAGGCAGCTGGTCTGTGCTGTTTCATCTGCTGCTTGAATGGTTGTGAAAATGTCCCTCCATAGCTGAGCAAGGCAGTGCACACCTTTAATCCTAGCACTAGGGAGACAGAGGCAGGCAGATCTCTGAGTCTAAGGCCAGCCCAGTCTACAAAGAGAGTCCAGTACAGCTAGGGCTATGCAGAGAAACCCTGCCTTAAAAAAGAAAAGAGAGAGAGAGAGAGAGAGAGAGAGAGAGAGAGAGAGAGAAAGCTGCACATGCATATGAACCTGAGAGTTTGGTCCCAGCACCCATGTAAAAGCTGGGTATTATGGTGCTGCTAACCCCAACCCTGGGGAAGTAGAGACAGGCAAATATCTAGGCTCCCTGGCTAGCTAGCCTAGCTAATAGGTGAATTCCAGGCCAATGAAAAACCCTGTCTCAGTAAGGTGTTTGCCTTGCAAACGTGCCAGCGGGGCGAGTTCAATTCCCAGAACCCACCTTTTATAAAATTTTTAAAATAATAAAAACAAAACTCTAGGCATGGTAGCGTGCACTTATGTAAGCCAGCTGGAGAAGCAGAGGCAGGCCACAGGCTTGCTGCCTGCTTAGTGAGTTCCAAGCCAACAGGACTCAAAAAAAAAAAAAAAAAAAAAAAAAGCAGGGGATTGAGGACTGAGGATAAGGATAAGGACTGAGGCCAAGACTGTTCTCTGGCCTACTCACCTACGTGTTATGTGCACATATGCATGTTCCTGTGTGTGTGCATGCACACACACACACACATGCACACCCCTCCAGCAGAGAGCCTCTAACAGCCTAGCGAATGCACCAACAGAAATCTTTACCATTCCTAATTTGCTGTTACACAACATTTATTTGCTCTCACTGTGTGCCAAGGATCTGAAAACATGTTGTTGATTAATAAACAGTAATTAAGTCTCACCACCTCATCCAGAGATCTGGTTAGGTTCTGGGATCCCCCTTTGCAGAATACTAAAAGTGAAGCAGAGAGGTTGAAAGTATTTCCTGGGGCCTGACTTAAAGACGCATTAGACAGACCCATGCCAGGATCCTGCCCCGCCCCTCTCCCTCAGTTTCCCCTTCAGTCCTCCAGATCCAGTTTCTGGCAGGGCTTTTCTGCCTTAGGATCTTGAAGATGTTTGGTGAAGGCATAGAGAACGGTGTGATGGAAGCTACACAGATCTTTGGGCACAGAGTCCAATTATTATTGTCAATGCCTCTGGTTCCCACTAGACTCCATTATAAATAAAAGACCAGATTTAAAACCCACACTGAAGGGACAGAAAGTAACTTCTACAGTTAAGACTCGGGCCAAGGTCACTAGACTTGGCCCAGGGTGAGCCAGACATTCTCAACTTGGGACCACCTCCAGCAAGTTCAGGGAGATAGTACCATGGTGATAATCCAAGAACTTTGAAATCCTTTGCATATTTAGACAGCAGGTTATTCATAATAGTGTCTTGTGTGTATCCTTATTAAGATTGGTTTTCCCATAGACTAAAGCCCCTCTTTAAATTATGTGTAGTCCTGGGATGTTACTCAGGCCTCACACGGGAGGTAAGCATCTACCACTCAGCTGCATTCCCTACCCTCGTGTTCAATTGTCGTTTTTAGACTATGAAGTAGCTGAACACCATTGAGGATCACGGAGAGGTGTTCTGGAGCTGGAAAGTCAGTAAAGAGTCTGTCACCCAAGCATGGGGACCTGAATTTGCATTCCCACAGGCCACATAAAAGCTGGGCAAGGCAGCCCTCACCCCAGCACAGCTGGGTCCCTGGCCAATACTCTAGCCAAATGGATAAACCCCAGGTTCAGTGTGAGACCCTGCCTCAAAGAGTAAGGCAGAGAACAGAGGAGCGAGACAATCCACTGTGTGCCTCTGGCCTCCACACGCATTGGAACACACGTGTGCCCACTCAACTCAGGCCTCTTCTGTCTGGCTCTGAATGTTATCTCCATCACTTAATAGCTAGCTCATTAGCTCACGGGCTCTCTGCTGCCTCAGTCTCATCATCCGAAAACTATGGGTAGCCTTAAATAACTAAATTTAAACACATACATTCATTGTGTGAGTTAAATTAATTACACATGAGAAACTTAAACGCCTAATGCTTTGTATACCTTTAAGAGCGTCACTATAATTGTCAATACTATTATGTCATTCAATTTTTTAGAAATCTTGATCACTGTATTTCTAGTATCATTTTGGGTACCCTGTCAGCATCACACCAGGGCGTTTCTTCCCAAGGAATCACTTCCAGACAGAAGGCACCCTAGGAGAGAACCAGATCGCTGGCACAGGTCAAGTCCATGAGGCCGTTCTGCCTCAGCTCAGGTCAGCGTGAAGGCAAAGCTCCGTTCTTTGCAGACATGGAGGCCACTCCTGTCAACCCCAACAGCGTGTTACACAGCACAATCCGCTCAGAGCCGCCTCCCTGAGCTCAGCAGCCTGACCACTGCAGAGGTGCAAGCGTGGTGCTGGGCCTTTGCCAGCGAGGAGAAGGGAGATTGTATCCACCTGCCTGAAGGCAGCAGGCCAGGGGTTCCTCCAGGCGGGTAAAAGACATGAGACTCTTACTCCCCAACCTCCAATCCCCTCTCTGCAGCCACATGCCAGCTCCCCGATTGACAAGCAAAAGGTCCATTTCTGGTTTCCTGTTAACTTGTGTGTCTCAGAGTAGCAGCTTCAAACAAATTTAAAAGTTTGGACCAGAAGTGACCTCTTAACAGGGAGCTCCTTCTGCTGAAAAGCTAAGGGCCCTCTTGTTTTATTTCCACAAAGATAGCAAGTAGGTGCCCAGAGGTACCGTCCCTGGTGCCAGCAGCCGCAGAGGGTGACCTGTTCCGACGCTCAGCCTACTGCACAGGCCTGCCCTGGGAATCCGGGAGCACAACTCAGAACGCCACCCTGCAGCTTCTCTCTGGGAGACCCACTGCCTCCGGAGGTGGGGAAGGGGTGAGAGGACGCAATTAGCAATAGGTAGTAGCTGCAGGACTCTGAGCTTACAGCAGGTTTGCAAATGGGGTCCTGGAAATGCAAAGCAAGCGCAGAAAATAAGAAGGTTGAAAGGACAGAAGGAAAGAAAAGCACCCCAGCAACACAAATGTGCCCGGGAAACGCCTCCTCTTTCTCCCCCGTGTCGTCGGCACCCCCTAAACCCCAACACAACGCTCATTCCAGGCAGTACGTGTGTGACTGCATCCACACGAACAGACACTGATCAAAACAAAAACTGATCAAGTAGGGGAAGAAAATAACGTAAACTTGAGGCTCATTCAGCAGCGCTGAATTCTTTCACAGCCCGGGTAGCTCCCTGTGAGGCGCTTCAAAACAAAACCAAACCAACTCCTGCGCAGGAAAGGAACTGCAGCTGCACCGGGCGGCACATGTTCGGGGCACTGATGACACACACTTTTGACGATTTCTGCTTTCTTGAGACGTAACCCATCAAGCGTGAGCCTCGGAGAGGACCGCCCCCGAGGACTCAGTAACCCTCCTCCCACCCGGACACGCACCCCAGCGCGTGCCTCCGACCCTGCGTGAGGCTCTGCCCACATTTCACTTTGAGTCCTGTGTAATTCTTCCCTCCCGTCATTCTGCGGGCCACCCAAAGTCTTTTCTACACCCAGTGCGTGCATCTATCGATTCCACAGAAAGATATGATGTAAGGACAAGACCATAAAGCTTAACTCGTCGACCCAGGGCGCCCATACACACGATGAGTAAGTGCACACAGCTAGAGAGAGGCGAGAACCACCATGCTCAGCCCACAGTCACGCGTGAGAAGGAAAAAAAATCGGTGGAGGGCGGTGGTGGCGAGGGAAATGGAAAGTCGCCCGCCCGCGTGGGCCGTTCTCTGCGCGCCCAGCGCGCTCCCCTCCCCCGCCCAGCAGAGGTGTCACCCGTGGGCGCAGACCCACGCGGCAGACTCGCAGAGGGTCTCCGCAAGAGCGGACCGTGGGACAATGAGGACGCAGCGACCAGCCAATTCCTGCCGCCGCGGCGGTGACGGCGGCAGCAGCTGGAGCCGCCAATGCAGCGGCCGCCGATGCCGCTACCGCCCTCTGGTCCCCAGCACCCACTTACGTTCCGAGGGTCTCCTTGAACTCGAAGATCTTCTTGATGTCTTCCGCTTGCTTTTTCCAGGACGAGCTGCTCTCGCCGTTCTCCCGGGCCATGGCCAGACTAGCGCTGTGGGGCGGCCGGGGGTGCGCTGGGGAGGGGGCGCCGGGGGCGCGGGGCGGGCGCAGGGGGATGCCGGGCGCGGGGATGCAGAGCAGCGGGAGGATGCGGCTCTCGGGGAGGCTCCGGCTGCCGCAGAGCTTCCTCTTCGGCAGTTTCCTCTTTCGCCGAGACTGCTGCCGCCGCGGTCCCTCCCTGGCTCTAATTTCTACTGCTCTCCGGCACAGACTTCCTGCCTCTGCGCCGCCTGCCAACCTCACTTTCTGCTACTTTCTTGCCTGGCTCCTGCTCCCCTCCCCGCCACCCGCCCTACTCCCCCAGCCCGCCTCCTCGGGCTCCCCGCCCTCCTGGTGCACCCGGCAGCCTCCCCGCCTCCCGCGAGGCGGCCTTCGGGGATGCCCGCTCCCCTCCCCTCCCCTCCCCGGGAGCGCCGATGCCCCGGGAGCCGGGGCGCCGCGCTTGACCGCGGGGCTACGGACGCTCCTGGGCTGTCCCCGCAGCCTGGGTCCTCCCGTGAGGACCGGTAGGGGAACCCGGCAGGTGCAAGGCGCTGGAACGCGCGGGGGAGCCCTCGCCTTTTGGGGAGCTTTATTATGAAGTCAAGGCTGGGGGCGCCCGGGCTTTCCCTCTTTGGGCAGGAGGGGGCGCCTCTGCTTGGCGCTCGGAAGAGCCCGGCGAGGTGGGGACGCACGGCTCTCGGATTCGGGGCGCCCGGGGCGGGCCGCCTTCCCACACCCGAGAGCTGGTAGCCCAAGCCTGAGGTGCGGGAGGGTGGGTGAGGGCTGGTTGCCAAGGCAATGGGCGGCGGCCTGAATGGAGCCACCGGCGCGCCGGCGTAGACTCCTGGCCCCAGCTTGGCCCCAGCGGGCGCTCGGGGAGCTCGGCAGTCTCCTCCCGACTCGGCTGCTGGAGCTAATTCGCATTGCACCAAAATCGGCCTCACGTCAATTTCGGAACCGCTACCCGGAGCCTCGGAGTGTACGGGACGGGCATGCCCAGGGCGGGCCAATTACTGCCTGGTGGGCCCTTTGAGAGCAAAACTCCTGGGGTTATTGCGTGGCCAAGCGGTAGGTGGGTGCAGGACACCGTGGCTGGCCTGGCCCGGGACTGGAGTGATTGGACAGATGAGTGTTTGAACCCTTCGGATTCGCTCCTAATGCCCTGAGGCTGTGGCCAAAACCTAGCGTTCCATGGAAAGGTGAAGTCAAGTGCCTTCTCTTCCCGCCTTCCCCCACCAGCCTGTCCCGCGGATGGCTTACTTAATAGGTGGTAGAGGCAGAGAAACAGAGAATTCCCTCAGGCCTCGGGTCTACAGAGTGAACTCTGATCTGTCGCCCAGCTCCAGGTGTTCACCTGTTAGAGGACTGTAGGCGGGGGTGGGGGGGTCTTACGTCTCCAACTGGCAGGGACTACCTCTTGATCGGAAATTTTCTCTGTAGCAAGACTTCCTCTCCCTTAGGGCTGCTCTGCGGAGTTGAGTAAACAGCCCTGTCTCTTGATTGGGGACACCTGTCCCATTTTCCCAGGACTGTTCCAATCTGAGAGACGGGAGGTAGGAACCTGCTTTCAGAAAAAGAATCTTTCCCCAGCACCTCCCTTTTGGTTCTGCCTGGCCAGAGGCTCTGCCTTCAAGCCACTTGGGGACCCCCAAGGAAGGGTAGATTCCACCTACCCCTGGAATCTCAGTGGTGTTTTCCATCTTTCAGTGGCCTTTAGTCCTAGGCTCTGGAAGAGCAGAGGGGGGCCAGGCCGTAACCATTGGTTGTTAGGAGTGACACCTGAGTGGCTGTAGGATCATGTTAAGTCTACTTACACAGGCCTCGATGGGGTAGCCTACACCCAGCTACCCCATCGAGGTACACACACTCGCGGGGGTGGGGGTTGGGGAGAAACAGCCTGTTCCTCCTAGGACCATAATGAACAAAACATGAAATTAAATCAAGACAAAATGATGCAATCAAGAGGCACAGTAAACACAAGATACCAGAGGGAGCTGGCAGCATAATACAGCAAACGGACTTACCGTCAACTTTTTCTATGAGTAAGAAATTCAACGCTGTAAACAGATAAACCAGGAAGAGCCATCTATTGTCAAGTATTATCTACCCAAATAATGAGATCTGTAGTACTTCTGGGCAGAGCACGGCGCTGTAGGTGTGTCTACACCACCATTACCACAGACACATGAGTAATGGGGCACACTGATGTTATGACAGGCTAGGAGGTCACTGCATCTCCATTTTAATCTTCTGGGATCCACCTCAGAATGTCATTATGCCTACATGAGGATGTATAAAACTCCTTATCTGTGTGTGTGTGTGTGTGTGTGTGTAAGAGAGAGAACTAAAGAACCACTCTCAAAGATGGAGACATCCCAAAAGTCCAAAGCATCCAGCATTCCCTCCAATATGGATTCCATATAAGGGTATCTTTTATTGCATACAAGCTGTGCAATATGGACAGGCGTGAGTCAACTGAGAGCCCAGCTCACACTGTCCCAGGCCCCTTCTTGGTTGCTTCCTTTCTCCCTCTCCCCCTTCTTCTCCCTCTCTGCCCCTGTTTGATCCAAAACAGGCAACTTCACAGGAACAGAAAAGCGTAAGAAAAAGTAGCGGTAAGGACATGGGAGATGGCTCAGCAGGTGAAGTACTTGCCTTGCACACGAGAGAACCTGAGTTTGATCCCTAAATCCAGGTGGGTTTTTTGGTGTTTTGCTATGTGCTCCTTTTGTTTTTTGCTTTAGCAACAATAATAATAATTAATAACACAGTAGGTATGGTGGCAAGCACTTGTGATTCTGAGGTGGTAAAGGTGAAGATACATGGATCCTGGGGCACAGCAGCCCACCAACCAGCCAGGCTAGCTGACTTGGTGAGTTCTAGGCCAGTAAGAGGTGACTAAAAGAAAATAATAATAATAACAAGTGAAATGAAAAGTCAATGAGGGGTGACACTTGAGGCTGTCCTTTGTCCTCCATATCCACGTGTATGCACACAAGCACACACACACTCAGGAGTGTGAGTCATGCCTTGAGGCATGACTTTTCTACCAGGCTACACAAAGCTCCTTGAGAGCAAGGCTCTTGGCGTTCTCACCACTGCTTGCATTCCCAGCATTGGCTCACAGAAGTTTAGACACTGTGACTGTTCCCTAAAGGAATGTTTGAATGGATAACGAAATAGACCTGGGCCGGCTATTTGATGCTTGTTGTGCTGGTATCAATGCTGTGAAGGGGCTTGTTTTCTTGTCCAAACTCTGTAATGATGTTAGTTCTTTGGTTAAGAAGCTATTTCCATCTGGACTAGATGCCTGAGGAAAAAAAATAGCTTTTTAATAGAGAGCTGGCAAGTCAGTCACACCCAGAAGACCAGATCCAGTGACCCACAGAAAATGGAAATGCCAAAGACACATTCACTGGGGCTGTATTATTTTCATTTCTCCCTCACCAGATGCCATGTAAAATAAACAAAATCTCTTGATCCTGGAAAGAACAACTAAAACTCAGACCTTTCATCCCTTGAGAATGCTGCAGGGGCTGGAGAGATGGCTGGGCAGTTAACTCTTCCAGAGGACTAGGATTCCCAGCACCCACATGGCGTTTACAACAATCTGTAACTTCAATGGGGGTGGGTCTGACGCCCTCTTCTGGCCTCTGTAGGTACTGCCTGAATGTGGCCCACAGACATACTTGGAAGAGAAGGGGATCAGGAGGCTGGACTACAACACACAGCTATGTGCACAAAATGGGCCTTCTGTCCGTTGAAAGTTGTCATTTCGTGTGTTCCCAGGCTTTTCTTTTTTATTGTTTGCATGGGTTGTTTTTTGGTTGGTTGGGTGGGTGGGTGATGGATGGTTGGTTGGATGGTTGGTTGGTTGGTTTCAGTTTGGTTTTTGGCTTGGGCTTTGGAGATTGAAACCAGTGCCTCACAAGTGCCAAGCACCTGCCTTCCCACTGAGCTACCCTTGGCCCACCTGGCATTTGTGATAATGGTGGGACCATGATCCACAGAGGTTCAAAGCCTTTATATTTCCCTAAAGCCCGCAGCATTTGTTTAGTTAGAGAGCTCAAGGAACAGGCATTTTAATGACTCATCATTAAAGGGTTACTAATTTTACACTCATAAACTCTTTCCAGCTAATCCCCAATTTATATGACCCAGGTTGAGTACTGAGCAAATGGTGCTGGAGAAATACAGGTTGTGTTATCTAAAGCAAATGTGCAGATTAAATTTGAAAATTGCTAAATTACCTCTCTTCAGACTATTGTACCTGATATGATAAGCCAGTTAGGCAAGCTGAGATGGAAAGGCCTGGAAATCCAGAAATGAGGTCCAAGCCCCAGGTATCCTACCAGTTTGTGCATAAGCTTCGGTGTAATTCAAAACAGTTTGTAGTGAGGCCAATAGCACATCAACTAGGTAGATGATATTTCAGGCCACCTCAACCAGTGCATTTTTTTTTTTATATGATGAAAAGCTTATCCAGTATTACTATTACTTTATCACTGGAAATACAATAAGTTTTGTTTAGGTTTTTTTCCTAAAAACATTATTAATCTGCAGTGGTGGCTCAGCAGTTAAGAGCACTCACTGCTCTTGCAGAGGGCCCAGACTCATTCCCAGCACCTACCTGATGGCTCACAGGTCATCCCTAACTCCAATCCCAGGGGATCCCGATCACTGACCATTGCAAGTACCAGGCACACATGCGGTCAAAGACATTTGTTCAGACAGCACACTCATACATAAAAATAAATACAAAATTTTGAAGGGGTAAAGGGTAGAGCACTTGGCTGGTATACCTTGATCCCTGAGATTCTAGCCTGGGGTAGGGGGGAGAAAGACAAGAGGGGGGGAATAAATACAACAAGAGTATATGAGTTATCTATACCAAGATGTCCTAATAAAATTAACTATCTCCAGAGATATACTTGAGTTTTCTTTTTTAAAAAGCCAGTTCACATGTATTAGGAAGATACACAACTATTAATTCTATA